GGTTGGCTCGGAGAGCAACACAATATCATTTATCTTTACGTTTCTTCTATCAACATGCCATTTTTACGTGGCACAAGATGTGGAAATACATCTCTGGACCAGATTTTCCAAAATGCTTCCACGATTCTCTGAACAAATGCAAATCTGTTTCTCGGATCTTTAGTTTCCTTAAATGGTCCTTGGGGTACTCTCGATGAAGAACGCCCCAGTAGTATGTCATTAGGACATAGATATGAACCATCATCTGGGTCATTTGGGACACGACCAATGGGTCTTTGATTCACAAGGTTCGCAGCTTCTTTTAGATAAGTATATAGTTCAAACGGTTTCATCCTTTGACTACCAACAGCCTTCCTCAATGCATTTTTGCAGCTCTTCACGAGTGCTTCAACACAACCGTTATGGTGGGGTGAAAGAGGTGTAATGAATCTCCAGGTGGTTTGATGCCCTGCACAATATTCTTGTAATTTCTCTTTGTCCCAACCTTGGATCATGCTTCGTAATTCTTTATCTACCGACACAAACTGAGTGCCATTGTCACTCTGTAGATACGCTGGCTTTCCTCGAATGGCAAAAAAGCGTCTTAATACTTGCAGGAATTCTTCAGTTGAACAATTAACGGCGAGTTCGAGGTGCACGGCACGGGTGTTCATACACGTAAATATTACGCCATAGTGCTTGGTCATTGTTTTACGGCTTATTTTTACTTCGTAAGGCCCGAAATAATCAACCGCAGTACAATGGAATGGAGGCGTAAAAGGCATATTTCGCTCCTTCGGTAGATCTGCCATGTACTGCTGTTCAGTCTTGCGTTCGAAAGACCTGCATTGGAAGCATCTGTACTTTATAGTCTTTGCCAGTCTTGTTACTCCTATAATCCAGAATTGCTGTGATACCTTGGCTGCGGTGGTTGCAACTCCATAATGACCTGTATCATGCACATGTTTTGTGATTAAGTAAGATATGTGGTGGCCTTGAGGTAGAAGAACAGGATGCTTGGTATCATAAGA